GGGGGGTCTCGGTGAATGGACGGTACTCAGGGGGGGCGTCCGTAACACTGATGACCGATCGATGATGCGTATGTTCGACCCAAAATTACTACTGCATGGGGAGATCATGGTAAAAATGGTTGTGGGCGAGCGGAGAAAATTGAATTTGTTTGTGGAAAAATAAATAGGCACGAACCTTATGCGGGGGGGGCCGCGCGTTGTTCGCGGTTGGGACTACTTTCCGCCGGGTCTTATTGATAGGTCGACGAGATACTGTACAGGAAAGCGTGCATTATTTTCAAAGGGTACGTTCGACCACCCAGCCCTGCACAATTGTTTGGTGCAATACACCTTGTTTGTTACCTGCGTTTTTCGCCCCTGATTTTTACCGTCCCTTACTTGGTCACCTGCACGTCGTTGTTTTAAAAGTGCAGCGCGGGTACCACGTCCGGTGATGGCGCATGTCGGGACGGGCCCCGCGGTGGGGGCGTGTGCAGGTACGAGCCACCCCGCCATGCCTCGCTCCGCCACGCCCCGCCACGCCTCGTCCCGGCCAACATAATAATCGCCTATTATGTGATAAATCTTGCCCAAGGGCCCAACTCCTCTCTCTAACGCGGCTGGGTCTCGTCAGCGCGTTGCGCGGCCATGAACCCTCTCGTTCGCGGAGGGCGCAACTCCTGGAGGGGAAGAGGGGGGGGGGGGGCAAAGCAGAAACTTTACTTCACCTCGAATGCCATGTACCGCTTTCGACGGGTATTAAGCCTTGCCGCTTTTGGCAGAGAGGAAATAAAATTCCATTTCATATTTGGAGTATGCCCTTTTTGCCATGTATGCGCAGGATATGTCGCCTGGTTCCATTTCTCTGCGCTTTTCTTCAATTCGCCCGCATGCGTCTCGACATGTCGTGGAGTCTGCGTCGCGCTTTTAAGACTTTTCGAGTGCGCGCCGCAAACTGGGCCCTTATGTGGTGCATGGTACATGTTTGGGCCCTGTGCCCCGTGTGCACCCATGGCATTGAATGCCTTTTTAATGCCATGTTGAGCTGTATGTTGGGTGCCCGCAGCGAGAGAGTGAGTGAGGAGGGAGAGTGAGGAGGAGAGGAGAGAAGAGGAGGGAGAGGAGAGGAGAGGAGGGAGAGCAAGAGGCTTCATGAATGAATGGAGCCGGCTTGTTCCAGAGGCCGGCCCGGCAGGAGCCCAGTCCGTCATCACAGACGCCAGCGAGCGGAAGGGAAGTGAAGCTCGCCGCGATCGAACCCGTTCTTGTTGAGGAGAGGGAAGACAAGACAGAGGGAGGTTACCTCGACATGATCTCTGCCTCTCCGTCTTACTCTCTCTCGATACTCCCGTAGATACGCGTACATTTTGCTCACTCTGTTCCAACACCTCGCTCAGTAACTGCTTACAGGGAGAGAACTTCCTCATGACAAATTGATTCAGAATGAGTGTTGCGTGGAATTATTATTCCATGTGCGGTGCGCCCCTCCTTCCTCATATGGCTGAATGTTTATTTTGCACATTTAAGGGCGAGATTTTCCATGAAATATGTTTTTAAGTGACGAAAATTTAATTCGAAAAGTTATACATTCCCTAAGAAACTACGTGCCGCCTTGAAATTCGTCAACGAGTATAAATTATCTAAATTTAAAATCAGAAATTGTTTCTAAACAGTAAATTCCAACGAAATACTTTATTTCATATGTTTTTCAGGTTGAAGTGGAATGCCGATAAACCGCCAAGGTGGTTCGTTTTTTTTTCAGCACCTCTCCATCGCGCGTTTAATACTACTTGAATCGGTTGAACAATACGATTTGGGGGCTTCTCAAGTTGAAGTCAGCCTCGGAAGACGCTCGCCTCTCGAGCGGCGGCTGAGAGCGCCGTGCCAGTTGGCACCCCTATACTGGGCGGGCTCCGGCGACGGGGTTCGGCCGCCGTCCGCTAGATGGCGCTACGAGTGGCGGAGCGGGCGGCGAGCGCGAAGGGAGGGGAAGGGACGATGGCGCCGTGTGCTCCGTGGTGCTCCGCGGCGGCAGCGGCGCACCTCCCCTTCCCCTCGCGCCCCGTCGCCGAGGCGCAGCCGCCTCCTGGTGCTGGTGCCGGCGCCGACCGCAACACCACGGGCTGGGCGTGGCGCCGCGTAGCAGCGTCGCGGCGGGGCGCGGCGGGGCGCGGCGGGGCGTGGCACCTCTCACGGCCCGCGAATGACCCCGCGGCGCGCGGGCTTCGCGGGGTGCGCGGGGCGTGGCGCGGCGTGGCGCGGAGCTCCGCTCGGCGCCGCGGTGAAATGTGGTTTTATTACCGTGCGCTGCGCGCTGCAGTTCGTGTCCACGAGCTCCCCC